AGTTATTATGAATTCGGTTCGTGTGCTGGCATTCATACAGAAAAACAGCCAAACAATTTATGACGCTCAGCACGGTTGACCCAAAACATCCGACTGTTGCACATGATATCGGTCACTTTGTCTTGCAGAAGGACAGTAGCACTTAATCAAAGGATCAACCAGAAATTTGTGTTATTTAGTTAATTTTGTACTCATTATTCGCAAAACTAGTGGCAATTACACAAATCTGACGTAAACTACCAGTAAGTGGCATCGTTTATAGGCTCGGCCATCCGCCAATTATTCCAGGGAAGGCCATCGAGACTTAACGTTGTGCTGGAGATTCATTCAAACAAGTTAAGCGGTGTTTCAATCCAGCGTTTTCTTTCTATTATACAAATTGCTCTACTTATGGACCAAAAACAATGAATTATTAACCTGAACAAACCTCATACAACTTTGATGATATGCGAAATACGGAATTCTCTTTTTTGACCACCGGACTCAGCTGTACAGACAACTTCTGGCCAACCTCATCGGTTACCATCACACCGCCAGTCTCCATTTTAATGCAGACCACTTCAGTTCGTTCGTATGGCAAAGAGTTATATACGATGACAGTCCTAAATGACAAATATAGCATCGGCGAAAATGCCATAGACCTACCGAGGCGTCCTTCCAACGCTGATAATTACGTCTTGTACGGCTGGCGTTTCTTTCACTTCTTCTGCCTAGAAAGAACACTGAAAAAAATTGTGAACAAACCAACACGAGTAGGAATCTTTTAGTTGCTGAAAATATTCAATGAAAAGCTGAAAATTTTAATCGGCAGTTAAATCGGTTTTACACCGGTCTCCTGGTGTAGATCCTAAAGCGAATTTTGATGCGTATCTCAAACAAATTTGCCATTAAAAGTACCATTCTCAGTATGGTTTCATTACCAGGAAGGAGGAACAAAAACCCAAACTTCCACGTGAGTGAGTAACGAGACTCATTTCTGTAACGAAACTGTCTAATATCCAATACCTACTACAGGATCGATCGGTTCAAACATACTCTGTAAAGTAAATGACACAAATGGCTCATCAGTAGCTATCCTGAAAGACCATATCGTCGCGAAACGGCACAATATCACCGAAGGCGCTCACAGGCTACTGCTACTGGAGCAACCTTAGATATATTAGCCAGTGGGAACTTGTCGAATAAGCAGTCGACTGCAGTACGATCGCATCGGTACGCTAGAAAGTCATACAATTAACCATAAGATAGACCGGTAGTAAAATATACTGCAAAGTCTGATGGAAACATTCTTACGTTCCAGTGAACGACATTACGCGTATCCTCTGCACTGAAAAACCCAGGTTGAAAAACCACTTTCATCATGAAGCCATCATTGTTTCAATGCTGTTTCAGGTCATTACTAAGCAACTGGCGATTCGGTAAATAACTGTGGGACAGTCAAAGAACATGTAACTGTGGTTTGATTCCAACACGCCATTTATGAAAAATCTGTCACTGGTCTAAATTGTTAGTCAGTGTTACTGTAACTTATTTAACCTGTGGTACTCTTTTATTTATGCTCAAATGCAGCATAATTTGCATACCTTGTTTAAGCAGGAGATTATCAAGTTTGAATTGTAAGAATTAATTTACAACATGAAGCGAAATGGGTCTCGCTCTTCAACAGCATGACTCGAAAAGTAACTTACAAAATCCAGTTCCGGGTCCTGTATATTCGCATCATGTGGTGGATTCGAAGAGAACAACTGCGGGATTGAAATTGCAATTACTTTCTGACAATCTGCCACGGCAGCAGCGAGTCTTAAAAAACATTTTTCGTCAGCAAGACCCTGTATTAAAGTTCTTATTTATGACATTCAGACATTTTCTTGAAACAAAAAACAAATCAAGAAATATTAGAAATATAAAAGCGCGTAATCAAGCTTAAAAATCCACTATGTACGATTGCACAGTAACAGATAGTATATCAAGCATACCCCATAACTACGAAATGTTTTGAATAAATTTTGCACTTTCAACCAAAATATCTACCACGCCCAATAATGCATCTTGTCAGGGTCAGCCAACGTTTAAGAAATAAAACTATTCTACTAATGTCGGTCCCTAAAGAATGAAATCAAAAGATCTGTCACCAACGTAATAATTTTCATTATTTAAATACTTGTCCTGGGTTTCACTACGGAATTTAACTTTTCTCTCGAATTCAGCAGCTTTGAAAGTCAGTTTTAATCGTCAAGAAAATCATACTTTGCAGCATAATCGACCATTACAAAAGTCTTTGAAGTTCCGGTGATGCCATCATGGTGCTGGAAAATGCCGAGGTTACGGCGAGCTTCAGTAAGCTGCATGAAAAGTGTCATCACAGAAGGCGGAGGATGATCGGCGTTCGTGCTGTCCATCTGTGAAAGAGCCACCACGGCACTGAATAGAATTTCAGCACCTCTACAAACAAATATTTAAACTTAACAACTTAAGAAAAAGTTCGAAATGTTATTCGTTAATTTAGTGTCGCTTACCTCAGGTACTTCTCAAGCACTCTGTCCAAAGCCTTATGAAATGGACGTGAAGTAAAATAGCCGCTCCAGTAGTCGTCATCACGGTCAGCGTAAGTAAAGAAGTCACCGGATAACACAGGAAATTTTATGTTTTGTTTCTGTTGAAGCTCCTCAGCAACTGACGCGAAGTAGTCGTCCAACGTACCGAATTGAGCCTGGATTAAAATGGTCAAAAACTTTCACAAAAATATGCGTGATTCTTACAGGCGACGTATTTCAGAGCACAGCTTACACACACACAGATAAATGTTAAATTTGTTGATTAACGGCCTGATCCTACTTGCTAGGAGTCAATTTGAGTAAATGAGGTAAAAATAAAGCACTATGACAAAAATAGTTAAGACGCTGATAATTACAGCTGTGATCAATTTCGTTTTTGAAGAACGAATGGTTTTGGCGCAGGTGAAGGATGATAGAAAAACGCTTTACAAGATTTGCTTAAGAGGAAGCAACATGAGTGATGGGGGACACGCAGAAACAAACAAACGAATCAAGTTGGTAAGCACAGTAATGCAACAGCTGTGAACCGGTATGTGGTGATGAATACGGAGCTGAGCCATAGCGCGAAGAACTTTGTCTTCAAATCCATGTTAACTGTGATCAGGAGTATTGGATACTGACAGAAAGAGTGCAAGCGGCTAAAGCAAGGTTCCCGAATGATTGTTGGCGTGATGAGAGTTAACAATCTTAAACATGGCAATTGAGGTATCACGGCTGTGAAACACTCCTTCACAGTGTTCAGAGATCAAAACTTCCATCATTTAGACAAGTGATCAAGATGAACCGAAAAAGAATTTCAAGACAAGTGCTAGGCAGCCACATGGAAGATGGCTAGCTGGTTTGGCAATAGACGGATATAAGTGGAATAGTTTCTGAAAACAGCTATCCCACGACCTGAAAGGTCACTGAAAATGAATCAGTGAGTGGAAAATTCGTCTCCGCTAACTTGAAACTTTTACTTCTGTCTGGCAAGTAATGTTCCGGCGGAACTCACCATCTGCTTCTTCATCTTCATCTTCCATCGTCGCTTCTCCTTTCGGGTCGCGGAGGCAAACACGTCAGACAGAGCTTCCAACGTTCCCGATCCTGTGCCACCAGTGAGAGCTTAAAGTCGGAAACTGGAACATATCCTCACTCAGAGGAAAAGAACATGAATTAGTT